AAAAAAAAAAAAAAAAAACAAAAGTATAAAAGGAAAACAGAAGTCAGTTTTAAATGACATGAAAAATTAAGAGGGAAAAACAAGCTAAAAAAAAAAAAAAGAAAAAAAATGAGATAAATTTAGATTATAATTAAAAATAACAACAACAGCAAAAAAAAAAGAAGCAAATATTTCTTTTGTCCTTAATTTAGCACTTTTTTTTCTAATTCTACTTCTTTTTTTTGTTTTGTTAAAATAAATTGGAAAAATATACTAAAGGGGTTGTTGTCAGATGGCAACCAACTTTTTTTTTTTTTGGCTGACAAACTTTTTATCAAAATTTCTGTTGCCTTATTTATAATCAACAATTTTTATCACTTTATTTTACGTATCTTTTTCTCCTCCTCTTTTTTTTTTTGACAAAAAAAATGCAACTGTTAATTATTATTATTATTTTTTTGTGTTTAAACTTTAACTTTTTTTTTTGTTTTTCCCATCTGATTACTTTGTTTAAATATTACAAAACTGTCACAATTGTTTATTTTTTGCACACATTCGTTTTTTTCCTTTTTTAATTTATGCTATAAGACAAAACCTGTCTGACAAATTTCAGTATACACATTTAATCAGTCAATCATTAATTAATCAACGTTATTCAGCTTACAGAAACATTGTGAAAAAATCTATTATTAAATTAGCAAAATATATTCCTTTTTTCTTCACCTGGAAGAGCTTTTATATAATAAAATTTAGCTGACTATGAAGGGGAAGAAAGTGTATGCGATTGATTACAGTGCTATAAATGTAAATGACAAAAAATTAAAGCCTAAAACTTTAATTTATTATTTTCAACCTTATCATTATTATTATTACTATTGTTATTTGCATATTCAATAACAGTTTACAAATAAAACACAGTTGATAGGTGAAGCAAAAACAGTTTTCACAATAATACTGTTTAGATAATTCTTGAAACATAAATTTGTTCTTTCCTGCTTAATCTGCACTGAAAATTTGTCACCCTAATAAGGTATAAGTTTCAAATTTTATACTTTATTTCTCTTAATGACAGAGAGAAACAAAATTCCATATTGTTTAGCATTAAAAACACCACCTATAACTGACTTTAAATTCAGACAAAAATATTACTTTTGTAGCTTTATTGACTGCTTTAACCTATTGACAATAAAAGAAATGAGCATCTCTTTTTTATAGATACTAAAAAGTTTTTTAGCCAAACTATTTAAATTTACATAAAAATAAATAATGTTTCAGAATACCCGTTGGTATAATAAGTTCACATTATCTAATTGAACCTCTTTGATATCAGTAGTCAAAATAACGTTTAAAAAAAAGTATAATTAACAGAATTTTATAGCTACTGATTGTTTGAAGAAAAACTGATTAACCATTGTTGAATATGGCGCAAAAGTAACAGTTTAATAATTAGGATTTGTTGCTGTTATTACTGTTCATTCTTGTCTTCCAAATGTGCTGTTTCAACTGTAGCTGCTTTTGGATAGTCTGATGAGATTTCCTGGACTTCCTTTAGTATTTTTACCAACTTTAGTATTCTTTCAGTGTCGTGGTTATCTCGGAATACACCACCGTCAACGTTGCTGCCATCAAATTGAGCACTAGACGGCAAAAAATAGTCACTTAAAAGTTTTGGTAAGTCGTTCGAACTATTTTTTTGTTTCAGTGGTCTCGTAACTGGTAACTGTCGTGAGAATGTTCCATAACTCAGATATACAGGCTTTGGGACAGCATCTGCAGACGGACCAATAACATCAATGTTGTCAAAGCTACCTGAGTTTACCTGAAACCTTACAAGTATTAGCAAAACAACCTAGATAAATACATGAACATTTGAAGCTTCTTAACTAAAAACAATTTTTGATTTTTCACTTGCGAAAAACTAGACCGAAGCTGCAAAAGTTTTGAGAAAATTTTTGAAGTTTATAGTTCTAGGTACAGTCTTAGCTGAAGTTTATGCCTAACTTAGCTGTTCGTTTATTGATGTACTGTTAAAATTAATAAAAAAAATTGAATTAAAAAAATAGAAACAAAGAAGAGATGAAATAAAGAACAAAGTAAAATTGAATGCCAAAATATTTTTTACCACAACAGGATTCACTCTTTCGTATAGGATATCCGGTAAACCATTGTTTTGCTCCACCGTTGAAACCGGATACCGTTTAGCTTGTTCTTCTTTCAGCTCTATTTCTGCTGGTTGAATATGGTAACGAAATTGGGCTGCTCGAAGATGCGCTGTTAAGTGTAAAACAGTTATTGACAGTTATAAGTTTTGTCAATTGAAACAACT